GGGGGGACACCATTCGGTCACCCCCCTTGGGTACATCCGGATAAACCCTTATTATTAATGTCCCCCGAACTACATAAAATTTTCTAGTTCTTTCCTTTGCTAAATTTTTAACACCTTAGTGTGTCAGCTAATATTGCTTCATGAAAAGATATTATTTCAAACGTGAACATTTTTTCATTTGTTAACAAAAGCTAATAGTATTTGTTAAGACCAATGGCGAATTTACAGTGGAGATAGTAGGGTCACATGTCCCCACACTAAATTTTAAATATAAGGTTTTGAATAATATTTTTCAAGATTTTGCACAAGATTTTCAAAAAAATCTTTAATAGTTTTCTAAATTTCCCCCACAATTAATTTTTTTTTTTTTTTTAATTTGCTCTCACAATTCTATAATCCTAACTCGATTTGTGACGACCCTTTCCCTAAAACATATTGTGGTATATATAGTTCATATAGAGTGGAATACAAGCTTACTTAGAAAAAAATGCCGATGTCTAAACGGAACGACAACATTGGTCTCGTGGACTTCAATTTTTTGTCTAGAATGTTGAATAGGTTGGGGTGTAGGGGCAACGCTCCCACGATACAGTACATGAGCACTTTCTTATACGAGTTCTAAAGTCTTGTATGAATTAGTGCTAGGGTTAATGTATATATAAACTGATGATATAACCTTATTATTCATACTCAATAAAATATCTCCACTTCGCTCCTTGTGGAAGTAGGCAAATTGCATAACATATAAAATCTAACATATGTATTACCGGGATGTAAAATCCAACATATGTATTACCGGGATAATAGAAATTAACATCATTTCTCCTCAACACGACTAGACTGAAAATTGCTTTGACAAAATTATGTACCACATCTTCAGAGTAAAAATGCAAATTGGGCAGATGAAATCTGTTGTCCCATTGCTTTGCTTTGGTAACAAGAGCTGATTTACCGAGGTGTCAAAATTTTAATGAAGCGACAGCCATCTCAATCGCCAAGCCAAACAGGGTCCCCCGTTTAAAGCTGACTGAGTTATTATAAGAATTTGTTTTTCTATATGCTTCAAATTTAATGGCAGCATAAGGTAGACAGGAGAACTAAATGCAGAAATTGAATTCTGTTTCCTGATCTAATTGCTGTCTGCCTTGGGAAAGAAAAAATAAAGTTACATTTTCACGTTTGGTACAAAATTGCCAGTCTTCTATTCCCACAGGTGCAATATCTGAAGCACGAGATTGCGTATATGATGTATAAGTAGAATGGGAAACTTTCGTCTTTCAACTTCATACTTTTATACTATGAATGTAAAGCCAGATAATTCCACCATATAAAACATGAGTTGCACCGACTTTGCATGAGACGACTACTCTTTCTGGAAGAAAGAGAGAACAAAATCCGTGTGGACAGAGAACAGCTGTGTGTCGACAAATAGCTGTTGTCAAACAAAACAATAGATTATTCTCAACATGAATTAATCAAAGATCAAAAGAAATTATTTGAGTCATCAAAAAATAATAATTATTCTTCCCAAAATTTCAAATAGCTTATCAGTTATCATCATTCTTGCATAAAATTAGGTTTTAACAAAACAAATGATATCCGTCTCAAATTTAAATTTAAAATCACTTATTATTATTTTATGTAAAAGTTAGGTTGAACCAAAATACAGTATAGTAGTTACGTTTTCCCAATAATGATTTCATAAGTTCTGATATCAAATTACCACCAATATGAGATTTGGATATTTAATTAGCAGTACTAAGAAACCTAACCGATGTCTGTCATACAAATGAGGCTGAAATCTCTAAAATAAGAAAAGCTTTGACTTTATAGAACCAACATACCTTCATAAAAGGTTGATCTCGACTAGGGAATGACTCAATGAAACTTTCCTTCAATAGCAATGATACCTGTCAATCATAGGAAAAATTGTTGGTAACCAATGTGCTCACACAGACTCAGACATGATTCTTGAAGTGGATCAGAGCCTCAAATTTTCCTTGTCCACCAATGAACTATATGAAGAAACTAGATTTTATATTATACCAAGTAGGCCTTCTAAGTGAATATGATTGCATAACAGCCTTGGCAAGTTACACAACATGATACCAGGAATCTTCCATGAAGAAGAATTTTGGAAGACGAGTGCCGGACAAATTAGGGGATGTATAACAGAAAATAACTGAAATCATTAGCCACAGAAAATCATTAAATTTATTAGCCACAACAGGTAGGGCTGAACCACATGGAGGAAGGAAATGTCTCAACAAATATACAAACATAAGGCTGAGTCACATGGAGGAGGAAATGTCTAAACAAACATACAAACATTATGTAGAGTACAGTTTTACAGTAAACAAGCTTTGCTTTTCATGAGAACGCTTGCACTTTTTTTTTCTGCAGATAATCATACATTGCATGGAACTGGGGCATTTTATTTATCTAAGGTCTGAAAAAGGCTAAAATAAACTAAGACTTCCTTTAATTCCAACTTTCGGATGGATTTATGACTTGCATATCCTAATATTTCAAGCCAAGATAGATTATTGAACTTACAGTAATGAAACATTAATTCCAATAAACATCAGTATATAAATTTGTAACTCTGACAAGCACATTGTTTCACCATAGAGGAACTTCTTTCCTCGAGAAAAGGAAGGGGAGGGGGTGGTAGTCATTTAAACTGATTAAAGACTTTAAAATGTAACTTTATACAACTTATCAGATTTATAGTATTCTAGAATATTACACATACCTTGTCATTATTTGATTGCACATTAGTAATTGTATGAGCACGAAGGTTGGAACACAGAGAATCCAAGTAAGACCTCAATACTCCAAGGAAACCTTTGGCAGCTTCAACCTACAGATATTAATATAGCTATGAAGAACATAGGGATACACATAAAACAGAATCTGCAATAGTGATTCTATAAATACCTATGCTGTCATAAAAATTAAAATGCTCATATTAGAAATTTCCCGTCCTATGTATTTGTCTATGAACATTTTTTAAATTTTTTTGGGTGGTGGAAGGGTTGAGAACAGCAAGCTTTTCTTTATTAAATAGAGGGTTTACATAATGAAAGGACCAGAAGTCCTCAAAGAAAAATCAAAAGCAACATAATTACATGTCATGAATGCATACAGAACGAGCTAGGGATGGCAAAAAAACCCGACAAACCCGATACCCGCGAGGACCCGCCCCGAATGGGGAGGGGAAAACCCGCTTAAACGGGTAACCGGGCGGGGAATTAT